TTGTTCCCATGAAATACTGTATAGATGGGAGTCATGGCGATGTCAGGTACTGCAGCTCGACTAGAGCTGGCAGGGGACACGTCTCTGCGGCTGGCCGGGCTTCCTTGTGCCCTGGCTCAGCATGGCACCAGCAGGTCTCTTTGGTGCTGGGGAGGTCAGGGAGCTGAGCCTGAAGCCGGGGTGACTGTGCGCTGAGGTTGCTGAGGGACACAGTGGGGAAAACATATAGTTAACACAGTTGCCTGCAAGGCGGCTCCTCAGAGGAAAGGGAAATTTCCATTCCATCCCTGAAAGAATCTTTAAAGCCAAAACTCAAATCAAAGAGCAAAGTATAATAACTTCCTCTGGGCAAATTTATAATTAATCCTGGATTAATTGGCCTTAATGAAGTTGAATTAATTACTGGCTGTTTGTAAAGAACTTTGAACTACCTGAGTGCAAAATGGCATTAAAGAAACAGAAAGGAACCGGCATCCCATTAACATTAGGAACAAATCCCAGATAATCACGCTTCTGCAGGCTGTTTCCCAGCCGCACCGCTCCCACGGACTGTGCGCAGCCTGGGGAACTGCGCGGGGCTGGGGAGTGTGCTGAGGGGAGGGTGCCTGCCTGGGCTGCATCTGCGGGGTCTGCTCAGGATGAGCCATGTGGCACCTCTGCCTGGGCCAGGCCAGGGTTGAGCACTCAAGGCAGCCTCAGCCCACGAAAATGGGTGCCCAAGAATGTTGGGGTGAACTCAGTGCTGAGCTGGAGATGCTTAGAGAAAGCACGCAGGAGGAAGCATGAGGAGCCCCGCATTTTGCTGGAACAGCTCCTGCATTCTCCCAGGCAGTGGTCCAGCCCCGCCATCCCTCCTAGCTCCTTCTGGTGTGTGTGTGTGTGTGTGTGTGTGTGTGTGTGTGTGTGTGTGTGTGTGTGTGTGTGTGTGTGTGTGAGCGCACTCATGCACATGCGTTTGTGTGTGTGTGTGGTACTAAGGATCAAACCCTGGGGCTTTCTACCACTAAGCTACATTCCCGGGCCCTCCTTTTTTGTTGTTTTTTAATTTTTATTTTGAGACAGGGTCTCTCCAGGTTGCCCAGGCGGAACTCCAACTTGCAATCCTCCTGCTTCAGCCTCCCAAAGTTCTGGAATTGCAGGCCTGTGCCACCACACCCACCTTCCTCCTGGTTCTTCACCCACTCCTAGCCAGGCAGAACACAGTATTTCCCTCTTGGTACCTGGGTACATGGGTTCATTTAGGCCAAAGAGACTCTTATTTGGAGGCTTTGTGAAGTCACTGAGGTTGTAACTTGGGGCTTCCGGCAGCCATCTTGTCACCATGAGGACAGAGAGCCTGGAAGTGGAGGTGACTGAGAGGAAGGAGGGAGAGAAAGAAAGAGAGACAAAGGCAGCACCTTCATGGTGTCCCTGATCCCTGAAAATAAGCTCTGCCCCTCTGCTTCTTACTTAGGTTTATTTATTTATTTAATGGACACTGAGATAGTACTTACCATACAGCAGACAGTGCAATGGAAAAACCAACTCACTGAAACCTCACAACTCTGTCAGTTAAGAACTATTATGTCCGCCTACTTTGAAAGATGGAGAAACTGTAGCCTGGCACGGTGGCACATGCCTATGACCCCAGCACTGAAGGCTGAGGCAGGAGGATCGCGGTGAGTTCAAGGCCAGCCTGGGCTGTATAGTGAGTTCAAGGCCAGCCTGGGCTGTATAGTGAGTTCAAGGCTGGACTACAAAGAGAGAGCCTGTCTCAAAAAAAAATTTTTTTTTCTTTTTCAAAATTACCAATATGTCTCAAACAAAATATTTCCCTCTTTCCCTCTCTGGAGGTAAGCACTGTGGCAGTGTGCTAGACTCTGGCACTGTGCTAGACACTGTGATTGAGCCGGAGCCCAAGGTCAAACAGCTGGAGGGAGACAGATAAGTAATGAATATATTCTGAGCGTGCACTAAAGGGTGACATGGTCAAAAGAAAAACGAGGCGGGTAAGGAAGATCGGTGGGGGAGCGGGTGTCTTTCTAAGAGGCTGCCCAAGGGAGGTGTCCTGGCGGAAGTGAGAGGTGAGGATGAATCACTGAGATATTTGGGTGAAGACTGAGGATGAATCACTGAGATATTTGGGTGAAGACTGGCAGATGAGCGGCTCTGGGAGGCTCTGGGGGAACAGCAGGCCCAGTGTGGCTGGGACTGGCAGGAAAGGGGGTTTGGGGTTGATGGCAGCCAGGTGTTGGGGTGACTGACCACCTGCCACCACCCTCCTGTGAGGACCTGAGCGAGAGGAGGAAATAGCATGGGGCTTTGAGGAGGGCGACATGGCCCCGGATGCTTGAAAAGGCTCATTCTGGCTGCCCTGTGGAGGACAGGAAGTAGAGTATTAACAGTAGAAGCCGGAAGACCTGTTAGAAGCTGAAATGTATAGCTCCACTATAC